AATTTAATCAGGATAGAGGTACATATGCTCTATGGCTCCTATATGTTTTGCAACATTCTAGCAGTTTAATATTGTACAGTCAGCCCTCCTTATCCACTGATTTGTTATCCATGGATTCAACCATCCATGACTTGAAAATATTCAAAAATAATATAAATTCCAAAAAGCAAACCTTGTTTTTGCCATTTTATATAAGGGACACAGTTTTATTGTGCTATTGTATTTAATGGGACTTGAGCATCCACGGATTTTGGTATCCACGGGGGGTCTGGAACCAAACCCCAGCAGATGCCAAGGGTCCACTGTACCTGACAGAGACTCTGCAGAACCTTCTAGAACAAAATTGACTCAAGGGTGACAGGATATTGTCAAATGAATCTACAGTAAACAATATGTGTAACAGATAGCAAGGACATCTGAAACTACTGGGTACCATCTATTTCCCCCTCTATTTAGGTACTGGGGAAAATCTCATTTAAGTTCATCTTTGATCAGAATTTACTTTAGAAATTGGCAATTTCTTGAAATTTAAATATATTTTTCTCTTAAAATGATCCTTTTAAAATAACAGTGATATGACTAGCAAGTAGAACACAGTTCTCTCCATGCTGAGACAGGATGTACCTGATAAATGGGATTTGTGCAGATGACAAAGGATTTCATTTCCATTAACAACCAAAAATTGCATACTGAAGACAGAAAGAACTTAAGGGTTTTTTTTAAAAAAAAGATATAATATGGAGATAGTGATACAGTAAGTTTTTCCATCATTAAAATTTGAAATATTAAAATTATAAACTGGATTGCACTGGTTGAACTATTATTAAATGCAATGAATAAATAAAATTGTTGATGTGTGTCTTCAAGTTGTTTCCTATGACTTATGGTGACTCATATTTTTTAGGGGGACAATATTTGTTCAAAGGGTTGTTGCTTTTGTCTTCATCTGACGCTGTGAAAATGTGACTTGTTCCAAGTAGCCAACTAGAGATTTGAACCCTTGTCTCTAGAGTCATAGTCCAATGCTCAAACCACTACACCATATAACCCCCATTTATGAATGGCCGAGATTGTTAATTCCACAATTGTTGGAAAGATCAGATAAAAACGAGAGGAGGAAATTACTAATACAGCGTTTTGCAACAGTATCATCTGTGTAATCAGACAATACATGTTCCAGCCATCCACGCATCTTACCTGAGGATACAGAAATGTAGAAACTAATTATTCTAACTTGACTGATGTGGGATTTTTGTTATGGAACTAGTTGCCATGTTCATAGCTCCCATTACAATGGTGGAGAAAGATTTGGCCTAGCCTATGTCTCCCCTGATTAAGGAATTGGGAGCAATTGCTCTTGTTCAGTCTCAGTTTATCTTCTCTTACAAAGGGCACCCAGAGTTATTGCTTTTGTTAATCACTGATTAAGTGTGTAATTTTCAATTTGATTGAAGCAAGCATTCAGCAGTCCAGTTCTATAGGAGCCACAATCCCATCCAATCAGATAAACCACAGGCTTAAAATGAATCCCCCCTTCTAATATATGCAAATTCATATATTAGATTTTTTCTTTCTTTCTTTCCTTCTTCCTTCTCTTCAGGTCAAGGGAGAGGAAGGCATTAACAAATTGCAAATCTAAATAGTAAATCCAAAGGAGATAAAGAAGAGATGGCAACTCCTTAAAATTACCCCATTGCCATGCATTTATGAGGAGCTCTCATAAAGCAGCGCCAAACTGCATTAATTCTGCAGTGTAGATGCAGCCTGAGAGGAAATATTTATCCTCATACCTATGTCAAATAATAGCTCAGAATATGCAACAGAGACACACAACAGTGGGGAAAATGGATGGTTGTATTAGGTTTTCAATATATAATATTGTCAAAGTGATGTAACTGAACAGCAGGAGATAATTCTGGGACTAGAGAAGCCAAATGGCAGTTGAGCCCAGCCAAACCAATGGTGTGTGTGTGTTTATACACTCATTGTTTCATCCTTCCCTCTGGAATGGCTACTGATGAAAATGTTAGGGGATAACATTATACACAACTTGAAATTGAGGACTTCTTTATTTACTTTAAAGATATATAAACTGCATTTTAGGGTAAGGTCTCCTAAGGTAATGTAAAAAAAAAAAAACAAGAACTACAGTATGCCAATACATAATGAAAACAGTGATAAAATCAGCATGATAACAGTGATAAATCAGAATTACCCATTGAAAGCAACAGTGCCATATACAGGCACAATACAAAATATACAAACACAACTCCAGTAGAATCCTAACCTAATCCAATTTTAGGACAAATTAAAGTAGAGGCCTATAATGGTGGAATAAAAGCCCACAGCCAGAGGGGGCCAGGACTGAGACAGTCCTGGTTTTCATGTTTTCCAACCTTATTGCGCTTACAGCTGGGCATTTTAATTAGGAGGGGGGAAAAACAAGCTTGTTTTAAGGCACATATCCTGACTACACAAATTCTCCATCAGCCCTCCCATATTTTTCCTTGCTTATGCCCTCTAT